GAACAACTTTCTCATCCATCCCACCCCAGCCAGGTAGGGGTATCCCGTGAAGGGCGGCACTGATGTCTGAGGACTTCATGCCGTCATACCATCAGTCATGAACCCATTGGTCCTTCTCGAGACTAATAATCAGCCGAAAGGGTAGGGGAGCTGGACTCCAAGCCTGAAAGAAACGCGGATGACTTTCCACATTCATTACATATATATTCATACATATGAGCGAACACATTTCCATTTTCCATCAAGAAATTCTTTGATACTATAGTAACATTTGTCTTACAAATATACTTCATCATTAGAATGATGAGCTGTGTGCAGGAGTTCTGATCAGGTCTCCATTTCTAGTTGGGTAACTATGGCAATCAGAAACTGTTTGATACATCTCAACATGTTGCTTAAATGACATACATTTGAAAACATAAAGACATGGAACTGTTAAAATTTTATATTTTTGAAAATATGGTCGACACGATTCATCTTGTTTTAGATTGAAAATGAGTCGAATAATTCTTTTTTGGAAAATAAATATTCTGCTTACTGTTACTGGAGCATCCTCAGATGTTATAGGATATGTTGCAGTAGATTAGAGCATAATATACATTGATGATTTGATATATATTGAACATATTTTTTAATTGCAAAATAGCATAGTAACAACCCGTGTTCACTTTTTTGCTTATGGCATCATTTTTTTCCAACTCATTCCACTATCTATACAAGTTTCGAGGAATTTGTTAACTTCAGAAAGATTGATGGTACTATTTTTGACAACCACTTTAATATCAGTCACAGATGTCCACCCAGAAAGAAAATGAATACAGACTGTTTTAATTTAGTTTTTTTTTGTAAGTCTTCAGAACTATCTGAATCAATGGTCAATGTAGTATCATCTGCATAGAAAACTACTGAATCTGAACTGATATAGTCGGGTAGATCGTTCATGAATTACAAAAAAATAAGCGGCCTCAAGATAGATCCCTGAGGAACTCCCCGGTCCATCTCATACTATTGAGATTTATGCTATCCGATTTTAACTGATATTTTCCTGAAGTACATGTATGATATCAGCCACGACAAGGAATTTCCACGAAAACCAAGGGAATATAATTTACTTTCGATTATCTCCAGGTCAATATCTTTGATGATAATGAATTTTTTTTTGAACGAACTATGAATCCAGATTATATATTAGTCTTGTCTGATTATGAATGATTTGAAAATCAATGTTGCAACAGTTTTATCTACCTTCAATTACATTTATGAAAACATTTTTTCAATGACTTTTTGGATGTTTGAATGATTTTTAAGTAAAATAAATCATCGAAATACATTTTTCTGCACGTCATTGTGAATCCAATAAGCTCTCGTTCATATATTTAGGAGCTTTATGTCTGTTGAACAAGAGCTTCAAATCGTGAACTGAATATACATCGCTCTTTGTTTCATTTTGTCGCTGCGTCCTTACATGTTGACATCATTTTTCTGGTCGGATAATACTCTGGGTAAATGGAAACGCATGATAGTTTTGATCATTTTGTACCAGCTTCATTAATTCACATGACTCTTTGTCGTAAATCCTTCGTTGAACCGTACCGTGACCGTGTTTTTGTGGATTATTTAACGATTCAGGGACAGAAGCAATTATCTCGTTAGAGTACCCGTGTCGTTTTTATATGCTGTTGATAATGACGGATAATTGTCGGATTATGAAGTCGTCTTTATTTCGAAATCTTCCTGTATGCCGCTGGATGGACCTACAAAATGAATTTCTGGAAACGTATTGAAAAATACATTCAGAATCACATCAATCCCATAGAGATGAAGAATGTCTCTCAGTACAAGTTCAATGTCGTTCACGAGCCACGAATCAATAGCAGGGGAGCCCACGATGAAAAATGGGGATTTACTCGAGCGTCATAGAGACATATTAGGTTGCAAAGCTTAGATGATAAGAAGTAAAAAATGTTATATAATATATTCCTTTTCATTGGTGGGTGAAACGGCTATAGATTTTTAAATATGTAAAAAAAAATACTGTTACCTGGACATACTCTAGCGCGTCAGATATTGATAGCATCAATGTCCTACGTATTTTTAATGATATTGGTATGTTAATCTGATAGTTTGCATGATGTGGGTGGTTGTACGGAAGGGTTTAAAGTGAAAAGAAAAAAAATGTAATCGAGCGCGTCAGACTTTCTAAGGGGGTGTTAAGTGCAACAAAAACTATCATTCAATAATCTGACGATTTCGATCTGACGCAAACTCGCGGCCATTATTGTAATGCGCGAAAAAATTTTGCCATTTTGAAATACTCAAGCGCGTCAGATTAAGATATATATATGGTTCATCTTTATGTTTTAGATGTGCTGTCTCATAATCTGACGATTATCTAGAGTTGCCGCGCTTGGGCTCCCCTATTACAAGTTTCTATTGTGGCTAGTGACATCGACTCTTCGTTCAACACGAACCATTGCTGAATATACAGGGCGCTGCATCATCAGCCCCCAACAGGAATTTCCGAACTCTGACAATTGATAACGGTCATCTTGTTGAAGCTACATATGTCAAATTACTTGTCATTTATTCAGTCTGTTTTGCCAAATCACCATCGACGGATATAACATTCAACAACAGGTTTTATCAAAATGGTTTTCTGTTCGGGCAACGTACCGCGCGCTTCATCTATTTTACTATTGAGTTCACTGGTTCAGTTAACGATCGACCGACAACCGAACGTCGACGAAACCCAAGGCCACAACTTGTCGAATTTTGCGTCGTGACTTGGTCTTGCACGCGTCCAAAATTTAACTGGCACAGTAACTGAAGAAGTTAAACGACCATAGACAACGATGACCACAGACAATGCTGAATGGGCTCTGGAGAAGTTGGCAACTGATCCTAACTTTCATAAAACAATGCATCTCGAAAAAGTAACTGTTTGGTGTGAATTTTGGGCTGACGGCGTCATCGGTCCATATTTCTTTGAGAACGACGTTGGCCAGGCCCGTAAATATCAACGGCGAGCACGATAGGTCAATGATTTCAACATTACGGTGCTACGTGCCACACAGCTCATGCAACATTGGATATCCTGCATGGGCGATTTGAGGGCATCCCACGAGGAGGTGAACTGGCCACCGGGATCGTGCGATTTGACTCCGTTAGACTTTTTTGTGGGATTTTCTTGAAACGCAGGTGAATGCGAATAAGCAACAAATCACAGCGGTCCTCAAAGCCAACATAACCCATGAGAGATTTATGCGCCAGAATCATGGAAAATTGGACGTTTCGGATGCCGGGTGGACTCCACCCAGAGAATCCGCTGCGGACATTTGAAAGGTGTTATATTCCACACATGATGGCATCAATAGGTCTTTCAAAGGAATAAAAAATTTCGATCATATCTCACACACACTTTGTTTTATTTTAATTTGAATATAGGAAGCGCTTAATAAAATACCTTATATGTAACCTACTTCAGATATATGCAAATAATTTTTTTTTCAAAAACGTCCTGTTAACGGTTTGTCACCAGGAGTGTACTGGTTTTTGTCCAACTTCCATTCGGATAGTTCTATATTTCTGGCTATTGATGGAGCATCTTCATGCATGGTTGAAGATATGAAGTTGCATAATCGTGATTTCAAGTTCAAGTTCAAATATGTTCATTTATTACTTTTATACATTGGGTGTTCAAATTATTCTAATGATAATGTGGTATTACTGGAGTTTTCATGAAACAGTGGTATCTTAGGCTACATCAGTACATCTCGAGGTTTTCAGTAAGATATTCATGTTACTTCCATGGTTTTGGTTCATATACTTATATACCGTCGGTTTGTGTTGCTTCTCATTTCGTGAGGCTACTCCGGTTCAACTGCTTTGATGTTTGACCCTGTGGGATATGGACAATTTGCGTGGATCAGTTCCAGGCACCGGAATGTTCACTACCTGATCACCAGCATGTTTTCTTCCAGAATGTCGATTATTTCCTGGTGATGCAACCACTAGAGACATTAGATTTGTCCTGGTGTGGGAAAAGTGTTTTTAATAGATCCATTTTACGCCAGAGGTTCCAATTCTATCTAGCATGCCCTCCAGAGCTCCAAGTAGCCTGGACGTAGCTAACGGAAGTTTCCTCGTACGCGATTTTTCTGGTGACATGACTTCCAAGGGATGGTCAGCGTATCAATAGCGACTATGTCGTTGCCTTCGATGATCCTTCATGCATAATTTTTTCGGAGCTCTTGTAAACGGTATAATGAAGTTGGATTGAAGGAAAGCGATAGGGTAGGTCATTGAATTTCAAAGAAGGATTGTTAGTATGCTGTAGGTTTGCCTTGGGAAGATCAAAACTTAATAATTTATAATCGATCTCGTTAATAATTTATAATCGGTCTCGTATACGTGTCTGGTGCTCAATTTAGGTCGATTTTCCAATCGTGAATACTCGTGAAAGTTACCCCTAAGTAAGTAATCGACTCTTGAAATAATAGGTTTTCTCCTAGAAGTTGGTAGTGTTAGTCCGAGACAAGTGGTGGTTTTAGGGTGACTTGCTAGGATGTTTGTATTTTCTTTGGCCCAGTTTGATTCACCATTTGCTGCTGCAGTGAGCAGAGTAAATAATCATATCTTAGGTCTGGGTTAGGAGTGTTTGAGTTTTGAAGACAGAGGTGTACAGAATGGTCCCATCAGCGTAGTTCACAATTGTTTGCGTTGTAACGGCATCTAGTATAATTTCCTTAAGCAAAGAATAACACTTCTTGTTGCTAGCCTGATGGCTGATCGTTTTTGAAACCAATTCCAGACATCACGAGCCGTCACTGCATACTCATACATCCCTATATTATTTCTATTACTTCCGCCATATCACTCCTTTGGGGAAATATTTCGAGGCCATTCTCATATTTTCCTCAATCTGTTCCACCGTCAATAAAAAAGGCGCAAAACTCACGTCCACAAACTTTTAACCAACTTTTCCTCCTTTTTTCTTCCAGGTCGAGAACAAAGCTCTGCGACTGAAAGACGGTGTAACGATGGCGACGGACGCCCAGGAGGACAGTGACGCCGCAGGACCAGCCGTCCCAATGGCCCTGCAGAGCTACGAGACCGCCGACAGCCGGCTGGCGTGGAATTATTTTGACGAGAGTGGGTATGTGGCCGGAGGACGGCTTCGTAAAGGCGAGGATCCGTATTTGAGGAACAAGTTCAATCAGGAGGCCAGCGACAGCTTGCCGAGCAACAGGGAGATCCCTGATACCAGGAATGCAATGTAAGTATCGCTATTTTGAGTGTTGTATAAGAACATAAATCAAAATCTATGTCAAAATATTTATTTTAATTTTGTGCGCATACACGAGCTGTATTTTGTTAAAAAAAATCGAGATTTCTAATAAAATTGCAACAATGTAATCCAAGGTATCAAAAATTAGTCATTTGGCTTGAGCGCTATTATTTGAATGTCTATCGCCTCACTAGATCACTTCCCGTACCGCACTGTAACGTCCACTTGACTGTCTCGATATCTTCGTGCCTAGCCTTAGAATATCGTAATCGTATGTTGTAGAAACTTCGCCAAAGTTCTGTCGAAGTCGGTAGCATTATTCTCGCTGCTTCTCGAGTGGCGGGGAATCATCGTACATTCGCGCGCTCTTAGCTAAGTCACGTTTGGTTTATGGTTACCAGTGGTGGCCGGCGTTATTTCCTTTCGGGCATGATTTACAACACTACTCCCTTTCCTGAGGTTGTTCGCCTCGAACAACATTCCAAGAGTAGACATTACGACCCATTTAAGAACTCAGCCTCTATATGTGGACAACTTTAGGCTTTGGGTGACAATTGGAATCTGTACACCAGATCGTTTATCTTTTTGGTTACCAAATAAGGTCCTTTTCATGATCTCTGCAACTTGGGACACAATTCTTTCCGACGTTGGTAGAGCCACACTGCATCGCCTTCCTTGAATCTCACTGGCAGCGACTTTTTGTCAAATCTTATCTTTAGCCTGTCGCAGTCTCTCCTTCAGGTCATTCACATACTCTGAAAAAAGAATAACCAATTTATCCCAGTCTCTTTGGTTTTCGTAGAGGTAGTTATTGTCTTTATTCCCAACAGAGTTATCATTTCCTTCCATAAATCCGATTCGAAGTTGCGGCCCTGATCCGAGTGTAGTTCTTGGGGTACTTCGTGTCTGGCAATTACGTTCTGCAACAGGGCTGCTGCCACCGTTTTAACCTTTTGGTTGGGTAAGTCTATTACTTCAGGCCATTTGGAAAAGTAGTCCATCACAACCAAAAGGTACTTGTTACCGGATGTTGTCATAGTGAGTGGTCCCAAAATGTCGATTTTTTCGAAAGGGCACCCGCTGAGGTACTGCTTCAACTTTCCTCTCTGCCTTGTCTTCGGACCCTTTCTCGAAGAGCACAGGTCACAGCCTTACACCACTCTTCCACGTCTCGACGGCAATTGAGCCAATAGTACCTCTCGCGCACTCTCGCTAGAGTTTCATTTACTCCGAAATGCTCTCCAGTAAGACCATCGTGAAGCTGTTCGAGGATACTCGGGATATATGTCTTAGAAAGGATCATCTGGAATCTGTGGGTTCTTCTATCCGGGCTTTCCTATTTCCTAGTGAGTAGGTCATCTCGATTGCTAATGGAGCCCCATTGGAGCCAGTAACCCTTTTCCTGTTGGCCGTGCTTGGAAATCTCTTACCATTCCGGTCTCGCTCCTTTGGCAATCTATTCTCGCACAGTTTTCAAGACGGGATCCTCCTTCTGCGCTACGATGATGTCTTATCTCGTCAGCAAGGTAGTGTTACCCTCAGAGACTGTTAACGACCGTACCACACCATTGTCAGGTGATTCCTCAAATTGTCTGTCCGTATCCCTGGACAAGGGACCCTCACAGGTTGCTACCCTTCGGGTCAGAGGGAAGCGGCGGGAGGTAGGGGAGCTTATCTATCAGAACTGTCCATCAAGGAGCTCTGCACGCTACCTTATCACTTCTGGTGGGAAGTTCTTCTGGTAGCTGGGTATCCTTGTCTTCCTGGCGTTGGCAAAATTTGCATCCGAATGTCAGGCACGGTAACTGATGAAGATACCGTGTAGCGAAACGCGTTTTTAATTTTAATTCCATAATTATTATTATTATCCATATTCTCATCTCATCATGCATTGTCAATTGAAGAAACATAATAAATGATGCTTATATTGATCAAGTTGTATGCCTGACTGAGTATTAAAACGCTTGAGGAAGCTATTGAATAGCGACACACGTGTTGCGGTTTTGTAACACAATAAAGTGTTGTGGATTTTCATCAAGTGTGTTCCAATTCCATCACATATAGAAAAATTTATATTTGGACGAGACTTGGCCTAACGAAGGATGTACCGTCGGAAAAATGTGGCAAGAAAAACATTACAAACATCACATCAAACATTTTCAGAAGTCTGGTCTATCGGAATCAACTCGCTTTCTGGAAAAGAAAAGCGACTGATTATTACCAATATTTATTACTTTTCACTACTAGGAAAATAAAATAAAATCAGGTAAATTACTTCCTTCTTCTCATATCATTTCCTGGAAGAGATATATTAGGAGACAAAGTTTTCAAATTGACACCCTTTGTATACATCGCATTTCCTTCAGACAACGTTTGTTCCGACGCTAATCTGACCAACCTAAAATCTCCTCCAGTTTAATGAAATTCGCAGTAATGAGAAAAGAGTCCATTCTCCCAAAAATTTTATTCTCGCCAGGATTGCGACTGTCGGCTATTTTCCTTCGTGAACTAATCAGGAGCGCTGTGGTTCGTTCCAAAATTGTTGGCGGTAAAATTTCGCTAGGCATTCCTAGCGAGTGGAAACGAGGAATGCTTGGCACGTAGACGTTAGTTAGGGCTGACCAGGAGTTTCAAGAGCTGGAAGCGGTTGTTGATGACGGTATTCTCATACCGATGATGCGGTTACTCCACTAGCCTAAATTCGCTTAGAATAAAATACATATAAAGATTGTTCTAAGATACATTAACAACTTTATGTAATTAGTTAACATACAACATAAAACAATTCTACTTCTTCAATATCACTTTGCGATCATTTTAATTGTTTTATTTATTAGTATCGCTGACGCGTTCGTGAGTTGTCTGAGGTAATCTGATATTTCTGTAATTTTATACAACAAACGATGGCTCGCGAATCCACTTAAAATTATTAGTTCCAACCGGAATGACTAATCCTCAACTCCATTACATTTATTGGATTCTCGATTGTTCGGCCAGTGTTTGCTAGGTTGTTGCGTATATTAAATTTCTCATTGGTCATTCATTACCGATTCGTTATATCATATCTTGGAAATCAAAAATATCACTGTTAAAGTTTCCATTACGAGTGCAACAGACCTTACAGGACGTAGTACTCAGCAATATTCGCCTAGAACTTCCTTATATTTATAATATTGGTGATAATTATCTTACGAAACGGTTTATTTTTAAAAACAATAGAGCTCTTCTACATTGTATACAGCCAGCTAGTTGTTTCGATTTATCTCCACTTGATTTTTTTGCGAGGCCATTTGGTCTTTGGTGATGCCAGTAATGTTACTTGATTTGAATGAAACTTAGATAGGAATAGGGATGGAAACAAAATATATATGTGAATTTTGAATGAAAATATGGTCACGCCATGGTCGTTATGCACGCTAAAGAAGTTCAATAATACGAAGCGAACGCGAAAAAGCTCGAGAGCGAATGAAAATTATGCGGAATCTGGTCGAATAATCTCGAGAAGTTCGTGGAACATACGAGAACGTTCGAATGGAGTATACTTGTTATTTTGTTTCACGATCATCGTCAGAATGTAGAATTGTGTGAAAGCTATTTTCCGGGTTTTTTGATCATGGTCTGCAGGTTTTTATGCATGAAGTTACGTCTACTACCGCGGTGTAATTATCGAAGGCGATGTGGCAAAAATCGCATTGCCCAAATTGTTGTTCCCGTTGTTCTGAACGCAGTAACTATGATGCTGGTAGACCCTGGTTTTATACTATTACTAGTGGGCGTGGCTCGGTTCCTCTTGGTTGGATCACATGCCCTTGTTTGTGTACCTTTAAGTGCAGGTAGCCAAATTTTATTGATGTTTATCGAAACGTCATGCATAAAAACCCTCAGATCATGGCAAAAAAACTGGAAAATAACTTTCACACAGTTACCTTTGGCCGTGAAAGTTTACATTTTTTGAAAAAGTAGTTTTTTTTAGGAGTTATTGATGCTGTTTCGTTTTGGTAGGGTCGCCCCGAATAACCACCAATCTTTCGCACCTCTTCATCGATGGACTATGTTTACTTCTCGATGATCGTTAATATGAGAAACTGGAATGATAAAGAAATCGTATGTTTGCATGCGAAGTTACAGTTAATTTTCACTTTCCAAACGAAGATGGCTCCTTCTTGTTAGCTCATAGTTGTTCCTCGGAGGTGTAATTATGCCTTGTTTATCCGCAGATTTCACAAAATCGTTTCGACGATGACCTTATTTGTTGTTTATGATCGAGAGATGAGATTGACTTTTTTCATTGGATTTCACAACGAACGTGACGAGCATATTTAAAGAATGAACAGTGCAGATTACGAAAAATTGAATGTTATTTTGATGTGATTTATTTCGACATCTGATTCAATATTTACTGATGGCGTATTTACCATGCTAAAACACTTCATATCACTGGTTCAGCAATTGGAAACACTTTTTCCATACCAGAAACAAAATACTGTCTCTCGCGGATTTCGCTAACCAGATGACCAGTCATCTACTGATTTCTGTGTACCAGGATATCACACAGGTTGCTATAATGGGAATCGAGAATGTGTTAGGAGACTTCGAGATATAAAATTCGTCCTCGAAGTCAACGCATATAGCACTGATGATGTCTGCCGCAGTAGCAGACGAAACGTTTGGTGCTGTAAGTTCTATTCGACCACGGCCCAGCAGCCTGGATTTTGTTTTGTCTCATCGTGATTACGGCGTCAAAAGCCCACGCCCAACCAAAACGTTCGATATAATGGTGAAGGAGCCGGGCCCGGAACATTCTTAATGCTACCAATTTTTTGTAAAATTATGAATGAAAAATCCGTTATTTTCGAAATCAAAGTACCTTTGTGACTTGTATTCAGGAAAAATCGCTAATAGGTAATATCAAAAACGGTATCTTCATCCAGTATATATTTAGTAGATACTAGTTGTCGATGAAAAAAGCTTTTTGATGTTGTTCTCCATATTTATACAAACGGCCGGTACTGCCGCAACCGCTGTGCATTTTAAATCTGTAATATCTTTGAAAATATTAATTTGAAGGGGACATTCAATATATATGAATATGGTCTGTAAATAAGGGCCATATTGATCTATATATTGAGTGCACAATGAATTTAAGGCATTAATTGAATAAGGATTAATGCTGTATTGCTTAAAATCGCTTCGTAAATAAGCGGAGGATAAAAAATGGTTATTGTGGATTATCCCTATCAGATAGATTATGTGTACTGTTGTAAATCATGCCCGACAGAAAATAACGCCGGCTGCCACTGGTAACCATAAACTAAACGTGACGTGGCTAAGAGCGCGTCAAACGGCCGGTACTGCCGCAACCGCTGTGTCCCTGCATTTTAAAACTGTAATATCTTTGAAAATATTAATTTGAAGGGGACATTCAATATATATGAATATGGTCTGTAAATAAGGGCTATATTGATCTATATATTGAGTGCACAATGAATTTAAGGCATTAATTGAATAAGGATTAATGCTGTATTGCTTAAAATCGCTTCGTAAATAAGCGGTTATTGTGGATTATCCCTATCAGATAGATATATGTGTACTGTTGTAAATCATGCCCGAAAGAAAATAACGCCGGCTGCCACTGGTAACCATAAACTAAACGTGACGTGGCTAAGAGCGCGCTAATGTACGATGATTCCCCGCCACTCTAGAAGCAGCGAGAATAATGCTACCGATTTCAACGGAACTTCAGCGAAATTTATACGGCATTCGATTACGATATTCAAAGGCTAGCCACGAGGATATCGACACAGTCAAGTGGAAGCTACAGTGCGGTACGCGAAGTGAGCAATTAAATAATACTTGCAGTGTTAGTTGACGTGTTTAGTGTATTTAAAGTGAAATAAAGTCAAGTTTGATTATTCAATGAAGTCAATTATTGGTCAACCAGTGGGGAAAAACGTAAAAATACCATCGCGGACTTTTTTGTAGATCTTTTAAGATGTACAGTTCTGTAGTACATTTTTTTATGTATCTCGTAGGGTTCAGTTAGGGTTTAAGAACAAAAAAGTGTTTTTTTACGACATGACATCACTATACCTATTAAAAAAAAACGCATCCAAATCAGTTGTGTAGTTCTGAAGATCTAACTAAGCATACAAAGGGACAGACAGCGGAAAGCGACTTTGTTTTATACTATAAATACAATTCTATAATAGTAGGCACTAAATTCTCATATATACAATTGCTGTAAAATTGAAACATTGTTATCAAGGTTGCGATTCTTTATAACTTATGATTATTTTTCCTTATCTGTTTCCGCACGTATAGAATAATACATGTAGTGATGAAGACTGGAAAAAAAGTCCCTTCAACACACATATATCTACTTTCATATGAACATTGAATTGCACCGAAGAAAAAGTGCTTTTGAAACAACTATAATGCTAGGTTAACATCTATTAACGTTCGCCTTATGTTGCTGGTTGTGTAACCCATTAGATGCGCTGTACTACAGAAATTAAGAACAATTTCATGCATGTAATAATTCAGTTCTGAGGCTTTTAATCTTTAACAATTTGAAAAAAGTTCATAATATAAGATCACGTAGAAAATGTGTGCAAATTTAGAGAAATAAGCAACATTCTTTTCTTCAATTCAGAAATAAATTTTCATTCATTTATCGACTCCAAGAGTTACTTTGCTTATTTTGCTTAGCAACACATTTCTGATCCATATTGATGATTGAAATTGAGGCCGGCCACACACATACAGCTGAACAGCTAAAACTCAATTACAACTGTGCATGTGCTTGTCTCAGCCTCGACTGTTCAGTTGAATTGACAAAAATTGAATTTCAATATATTTAACTCAATGGATTAACTGAACTCGTTCAAATCCATTGCAGAAACTAAAGGATTGAACTATCTGTTTGTGTACATTTCAGTTTACAGTTTTAACTGACAATTATAACTGTATGTGTGTGGCCGGCCTTAATTTCCACCAGTTCAACTGAACATTTGAGTTTAACTGGCAGCGACGTGTGTGGCTAGCCGTAGAATTTTCGTTCAGAACTAAACTATACCCATCGAACAAACAAACAAAGTGACCCAAACAAAGATAGATGCGTGTTCAAAGCATCCAAATGTAAAATAATATAATTTACAACGAAAAAGCCAACTTTAATGTATGATTATTCAATCAACAATACTACAATCAACCGCGTACATGGGATAAAAGCTCTTGGTATAACATACGACAGTAAATTAACATTCACAACACATTAAAAAAGGAATATGGCTGCTGATGCAAATAGCATGCTTGGATTCATTTACAGAAATGGAAAAAACAACAAAAGTATTGCCACCTTAAAATTGCTATATTTTGCGTATGCCAGATCTAACTTAGAGTATGGCTTTGTGTTAGGGAATCCAGTTTACTACTACCAAAAAAACATCAATTGGGAGCGTGCAAAGGAAGTTCCTTAAATACTTATGTCTAAAAGATGATGGACAATTCCCCACGAGAGGCATCGATCATAACATTTTGTTGACATTGATATGACATCTTTGGAAAATAGGAGAGTTATCCTTGGTATAAAATTCCTGCATAAAATACTAAACAACAATATTGACAGTACGGTTCTTTTACCCGAGATCAATTTCTTAGTACCGAAAAGGTCGACACAATCTGAAATTCTATTGCGAAGCATCACGCACAAATGATATGCTATGATCACCATTGAATTCAATAGAATACTTACTATAAATAACTGTCAGTACTGCTACATTGTATGATTTGTAACTTTGTGTGTTTTATATAATCAATTTTTCATTCCTCTTTTGAAATTCTACAAATACGAATATTTCTTTTATACATTTCTATATTCCATTATTTTCAATATTTATTTTGTGTATGGTCTGTAATAACAGCATTTCCTGTAACTGGGTACTCCTGTTGGAAATAAATCGCTTTTTTATTACCTAATATCACGCACATTTGCATATATTAGGTGTACATTTGCGGTATTTTAAAGTTTGAAATTTTGAATATGTCAAAAACTGTTACAGCGGAAGAAACTGCTAATTGTTGTCCCCACGCACTCCCCTTAAAAATGTTCCTATACCCAGCCGCATATTATTAAAAAAAAATTCATAATTCATAATTCCTTCGCATATCCCTACCAAGATAAAGTAGCTGCATTCAATAGTATGCTTCACAGACTATTGAATATTCCACTGTCGGAAAGTACGCTCCAGAAATTAGTTTTCAAACAATGAAGATGGTCGTTTTATATTCGTGAATAATTTGTGTCTGGACTGATTTATATAATTTTTCTCAGGTGTCGGCGAAAAACATGGAGAACCGAGAATCTACCAGCCACATCGGTAATTATAACTTTCCACAACGAAGCCAGATCCACCCTCTTGAGGACAGTCGTTAGGTAGGAAAGGCATCTTTCTCTAATGGATTGACTTTTTGTTCACAATGTTTTTTTTTTCAGTGTCCTAAACCGAAGTCCAGAACACCTCATCAAAGAGATTATTTTAGTTGACGATTTTAGTGATAGCGGTGAGTTTGGCTATTTTATCTTCATTCACCAGTGTTACCCAGCAAAATGAGCTATAGAACTTTGAATAGTTATTTTGATGAATTGATAGTTATATTGATTCATTAAAAATCAAATAAATCCATTCTCCTGATATGTTGAATGAATTTTATAATCTTAATTAACAGTTTTATTTTGACTACTACAACTCAACTACGAATTAGAAGTAACCTTTTTGCCCTCTTCTAGGATTTTAGTTGAAATAATTTCATTTTGTATCCTTTTGGAAATAATGAAATACCCAATATTAAACTTGAAATGATATACTAATATATTAATAAGAACCTTGAGAAAACCTGCTTTCATCTTTTGAGTTCATTATTGTTATATTTTACCAACGTTTTCCTTTACCTACTACAAACTTTTATTGAACTTTGCGGATACAATGAAAATTCGAAAACATTTTTCTTGAATAAAAGTTATTCAAAATATTCTGAGGAGAGGATATTTTTCAATTAAAGTGTAATGGGTAATTAAAAATTATTATTAGATACAGTGTGACCATCAAAATCTGCATCATAATAGGATTTTTTCCAATTTATTATTATGCAAAATTTGACCTTGACATCAATTTTGGCTTCATCAAGATGAGTATTAACGAAAAAATGTAGCCAATATGTACAAATGGAGGCATTAAATATCAAATTTTAATTTTGTTTTCAAAAATAATTCCGAGAGGTCTGAAAAAATTTAAAGAAGTTATTTGAAATTTTTTCTGAATATAATTTTTAGTACACAAGCGAACATTCAGCCGCACAAAATTATTCTAATTTTTTATTTTTTTGTAAATTGCACCATTTTCCAAAATTACACCTGCAATATACATGACACTCCTTAGTTTTCACAACTCTTTACTCCAGGCATATTGTGAGTTAATTGATTGAAATATCTATTTTTATAAAGGTAGTCTACAAGTAATATAGATCAATTTCAAGGAAATAGAGGCATTTTCCAGTAAAAAAAGGAAATTGTAGAAAAATTGAACCCAGTTGATTCTGTTCAGTTATTTTTTAGCATCGATGTGTATCACTTTTAGACATGAAGTAGGTACCTTTTCAAGAATGGATATTTCACAAGGTTACGTCATATAGGGTCAAAAACAAATAAACTTTGCATCACCAGCCACAAATTTTTAACAACTCGATTTTGATTCATTATAAAAACACACAATTGAAGTATCGCCAAAGAGTTTTATGTGGATTATGCTGAATCTCATTTGGCAATACAGGTAAAATTTCCAAAAAAAAAAAAACAAAATCATCGTATTTAGCTGAAATTTAGCATATGAACTGAATAACCCCACTTTCGGAAGATATTTGGAATTTTTTTTTTAGAACTCTTTATTTATATCCAACAGGGTACATTTTTACTTTGCGACACACATGAATTATTTCGGGTAGAAATTTGAGAGACATTTTTTCGTGAAAGTTCTCGCAAACTTTAACAGAGTATGATACAGGTCAATGTTATAATATATCGGACAGACTAAGCGAGCCATCATAACTCGTTTCAAAGAACATGCAGCACATATCCGCTTTCGAAGACCAGAAAAATCTAGTGTCGCTCAACACGCTTTGGAGAACGGGCATAAAATCAATGTAAACCGCCTGACACTGGATTTTTTATCCTTTCGAATGTCTGAAAAAAGCAAAGTGTGGCTCAAGAAAACTTCTCTCAAACTTCTACCCGAAATCATTGATGTGTATCATCTTCTGAAGACGCCTACTTGGTTTGTGAAACGTGTATCGGAAAGAGTATTGCATTACTGGTGATTTGGTGATGGATTTTTCACTCCACAAAAATATCATCATAACTGAACTGATTATAACTGAAACTTAATACAAAACAAACACTTTTCCTGATCACCAGAAATGCAATACTCTTTTCGACATGCGCTCCACCAAACAAGTTGGCTTTTTCAGGAGATGAGGTATTGTATTTCTGGTTATTGAGAAAAGTGCAACACGTCATTTAAAAAACCTAACTCTACTCGGTTTCCAGCATATTTGTCAATAATATCAAATGCATTAATTTCAAAAACGATCATCTAAAAAAATGTTTCATAACTTCACTCATCCTCCTCGAAATTCTAACGAAGGCTCGACACTGAATATATGTCCAACTCCCTATTGAACTCTTTCTTTAGTCGTATGTATCTATTATATAGTTTCTCATCAATATTGTTTTTATAGCGTCTGATGGCGAGGAGTTGGCCAAAATCCAAAAAGTGCGCGTGATCAGGAACGACAAACGAGAAGGCCTGATGCGATCCAGAGTTAAAGGAGCCGATGCTGCTACAGGGACGTTATTGACGTTCCTCGACAGTCATTGTGAGTGCAATGCCAACTGGTTGGAGCCTTTGCTAGAGAGAGTCGTAGAGGTAAGAATTTGTACCTACATGAAAGACAGGTAAAACAAAAGTTCAACACGGTATTCAACTCAACAACTAACAAACAACGAAATCACTGATGTTGAGGAAATTATTTCAAATATTTTTTCTATACATTTCTCGAACTTCTCGAAGAGTGAAATCGAACACCGTTTTGGTTGTGATAACAACTTATCATGCACAACATCCATATTGAACAACCCGTTTTTCTTTGCACGAGTTACTCACCATGAAGTCATTCTGATTGTAACAAATCTCAAAAACTCAAATTCTTTTGGGGTTGATTGCTTAACTGGGTCCAGTCTTGCTTCACTCAGTCGATATTTATTATCCAGAAAAGAGCCATTAGAGCTCTGATCGGTATAACTCAGACTAAAAGTTGTAAACCATGGTTCATTCAGTTTAAAATACTGACACTTCCGTCAGCAATTATTTACAACGAACTAATCTACATAAAAACGCACATGCATTTGTACACACTTAATGGAGATACACACAATTATCTGACTAGATTGAGATTCCACATCGCTATTCCAAATAACAGATTAACCTCTACGAATAAAAAATGTATTGGTATCAGATTATTCAACTCACTACTACTCACAAAGAAGCTCCAATAGCCATTTTAAAGCAAAACTGAAAACTCACTTACAATGCTTTGCCTATTCCGACATCTCTGAATTTGGATTTCCTCAATTAACAATATCAAACCCATTTTAACAAGCATGTAAATAAATTTTATAAATTTTGAAATCCATAAAAAGTGTCGTGAAAATGTATATAAATTATTGTGAAATCCAATATGTATATTTTAATCATAAATAATTTTCATTTAGATTCAGGATTAGGTGTAGTCAATGACTTGTCAAAACACTATGTCGTGTATTACTGACCAATGAAGTACAATACAATACAATTCAATACAACAAAAAACATATTGAAAGTATTGCTCATTAGATTGCGAAGCCACTGTCCAATATTATTAAAAATGCAAATTTCCAGAGAAACTCAAACTTGGGGTGGTGGCATGGAGCGTGTGGCAGCGAAATTCGTTGCAAAATGGCTAAATTTTGACATAAAAACCGTCGCATGAGCATCGGTCAGGAATTGTTGAATGATGTCATGGGTACGAGTAATGGTTATGACATCGAAACCAAAATCCAATCTTCCCTTAGGAAGAGCCCAGAATAGCCAAGACCAAAGAAAAACACGCCAAGTTCGATCAAATGTCAAGGTTTTGCTCGCCGTTTTCTTCAGTTACCGTGGCGTAGTGAATCTGAAGTTCTTGCCACATGGTTGTACGGTCAATAAGGAGTATTATGCGCCGCTTGCGAGAAGCAATGCGAAAAAACGTCCGTCTGGCATCACGATAATGCATCTGCTTACTCGCCATTGCTTGTTCGTGATTATTTGCCCAAAAATAACACCGTAGTCATGACTCAGCCACCGTATTTACCAGATTTGCCACCCTTCCATTTTTTTCTGTTCCCAAGATTGAAAAGACCCGATGAAAGACGATGTTTTGTGACTATTGAGAAAATAAAAACCGAATTGCTGAGATAGCTCAAGAATATATCACAACTGCTTTAAGGATTAGAAAAACCTGGCAAAATTCCATTATGTTCGACTGATGACCTATTCATTCCGTATCAGAGAAACTCAAACTTGGGGTGGTGGCATGGAGCGTGTGGCAGCGAAATTCGTTGCAGAATGGCTAAATTTTGACATAAAAACCGTCGCATGAGCATCGGTCAGGAATTGTTGAATGACGTCATGGGTACGAGTAATGGTTATGACATCGAAACCAAAATCCAATCGTCCCATAGAAAGAGCCCAGAATAGCCAAGACCAAAGAAAAACACGCCAAGTTCGATCAAATGTCAAGGTTTTGCTCGCCGTTTTCTTCAGTTACCGTGGCGTAGTGTATCAGAAGTTCTTGCCACATGGTTGTACGGTCAATAAGGAGTATTATGCGCCGCTTGCGAGAAGCAATGCGAAAAAACGTCTGTCCGGCATCACGATAATGCATCTGCTTACTCGCCATTGCTTGTTCGTGATTATTTGCCCAAAAATAACACCGTAGTCATGACTCAGCCACCGTATTCACCAGATTTGCCACCCTTCTACTTTTTTCTGTTCCCAAGATTGAAAAGACCCATTGAAAGACGATGTTTTGTGATTATTGAGAAGATAAAAACCGAATTGCTGAAGTGTTGAAAGAAATATTGATTATATCACATCTGCATTACAAAAAAATTAATAATTCATTTGAAACAAACTAAAACAAAATGTCTCCCCAGATATACTATTCAAAATACGCTACTGGTTGACATCATCAGGAAAACATCTGATATTTCCTTCCAAAACGTTTATCTACAAATGAGTTCTCACAGTTCTCCTACGAGGCAAAATTACTGTTAAAATAAATTCCTAAAATATTCAGAAAACGATAATGTAAAACATGAATCACGAAGGAAGTAAATGATAAGGAATTTTCCAGGATCCTACACGAGTGGTTTGTCCTGTGATAGATGTTATCAGCATGGATAGCTTCCAATATATTGGAGCCTCTTCGGACCTCAGGGGTGGATTTGATTGGAATCTTGTTTTCAAATGGGAATACCTGAGTTACGCTGAAAGAGAAAATAGACAAAGAGATCCGACAAAGGTAAGGTATAATAATAAATATTTCGTTTTCCAAAATTGTCAGTGATAGTTGTAAATTGTTTCGACGTCACGTGTTGTTTCACAAAACCGCTTTTTCCTATCATAAACCAATCATTTCAGCATTAAAATTTTCCGTCTAGACTGAAACTTTCACTTCAAATTGTCGACCGATATTTCAACCTCCTATCTCAGTTTTCCATGTTGAACTTTTTGATCGTATTTTGAAGGATTTTTTTATCAAAATCTCAGATACTTCCAAAGCTTGAAAATTTTAGTATCACAGAAAAGTCATACAAATAACTTGAATCGGTTATATATACTGGTATAGCAGTTTTTTCAATTTACAAAGTTCAAAAGTTTTGCACAAAGAAGTCGAAACATGTTTTTCCCTTCAATCGATTTTTTCCATTTCCAAATGGTTGCAATTTCCAATCAGAACACATGTATTGTGAAAAATTCAAATCGATATCTCGTTTCGCTTGGTAGATAATTGATCTCTAGAAATTTGGACGACAGACGTACAGATGGACGGACCGATAAATCACACAATTTTTTCTAAAATTGTATATTTCGATGAGAATCATTTTATCCAAAGCAAACACGGTCTCTTCAGATGAAAAATTTGAGATTTGCTGGAAGGATAGTGATGTGTACTCCTGAAGATGCCAATCTTTCACGCTTTCGAGAGAAACTAATTGAAAATGAATCAAGATTAGCAATCTCGAAAAAACAACAAATGCTTCAGAACCTACCCGCAAAGCTTTAATTTGTTTCTTTCTTGCTTCTGTATTGAGCAAAATTGAGGGTTAATTTGAAATATTTTCTTGATAGATATTCAGACAAAGATTTGTTTATACTTCGTACTAGTGATTCCCAAAGGGTGCACCGGGGCGCCAAGATGTCGTCATGAGGGCGCCGCAAAATATACATTTAAACAATTCGGCAATTTTCTTGGAAATTCCAATTCTCGAATTTTTGCTTCAAAAAATCGTGAATGCTAACGAAATCACAAGAATTTAGCAACTTTCGATAATTTTTTTAGGGACAAAACACAAGCACTACAGGAGAATCCTCAAGGAGCTCTACGAGCGGTGCCTGTGGATTTGAATCGTTGGATATCAAATCCATTTGGAGGAGTTTTATTCCACATAAACGCAGTTCTCCAAATGAGAGAGTTCTTGAACAGTGAGGTGTACTGAGTTGCACCTCAAAACAATAAGCAGCCACAGTCCGTCGCGAATTTCTGATATATACTGCTCTTGGTGGAATCAAATGTGCCAAGTCACTTGAACACTTCTCGTGAAAGTATCTATAGAAGAGAGAGACATCTCCAACCTTTCTTCGATGTTCCAGACTATCAAGGTTGAAAGTAATATTCGCGTCTCCAATCAGGAGGATGACTCTTTTCTGGATGGAATCCAGCAACTTCAGGGTATGTTTGGGGGCAGAGCTCCATACATGAGAACAATACTTCAAAGAAGGTCTGATCTGAGTTTATTAAGCATCAAAAGTTGCTGAGGTGTATACAGTTTTCTGGTTCTGAACAGCAGGCTTCGCAATTTCAACGACATGATTGTGTCAAGACATATTGGTGTCCATATTAACCCCCAATAAACTTATCGAAGCAGAAAACGGAATTGTCTGATCTGACACTTATTTTCTTTGAGAAAACTTTTGTCAGGGTTTTTGTGGCATTGAATTGAACCTGGTTACTTTCACTCCAGTTCGAAATCACTTCTAGATTCTTGTTAAGATATGCAACCTCCTGCTGCCGGTGAATATGTGCCTCCGTAGCCGATGTTCTGGAATCCAAATGGAATGATGAGACAAGTGTGGTGTCGTCAGCAAAGCAATATATTGGATTCTTGGTTGGAGACAATATGGATCCCTGAGGAACACCAGCGTTGATGGTGAAAGTATTCGAGAGATATCTATCGACGGTCACTTGTAGGAAACGTTCTTTTAGGAAGCTGGAGAGCCATACACAATTATGATCCGATAAGCCATAGCATGGAGGTCAAAGGCCTTAGAAATATCAAGCGCAACAGCTCTTGATTCTCTATGTTTCTCGATTGCGTTATTCCAAATATGGGTGACATATGGTAGAAGGTCGCCTGTTGATCTTTGTTTCCGATTATCGCTCAAGATGTTGAAGCCTTCCAAATATTTAACGATATGGTGGTTTACCACTTTCTCCATGATTTTTGATCTTACCGCAAAGCGACTTGGCAAAGCGACTGGTCTATAGGTATTTGAAAGATTTTTTCCCCTTTTTGTGAATAGGTTATAACGAAAGTTTGTCAATTTTTTAAGAAAGTCAAAAATTTTGAAAAAATCAAGGATGTCGCGAAAAAATACGAAAACCGAAACCGAAAAAGATTGGGAACTTCTGAACTGCCTCCCCTTTTTTATTACTTTACTTCTTCACTATCGTTTTCATAGCCTCGTGCGACTCACTGAACTGAACTAAATCTAAATGAATCTTTATGTGAACTGTTCCAATGCGATTGCTCCACACCTTTCACGGTGAGTCATCACCGAATTATGATTGTATTTGCAATAAATCGAGGGCGAAGCAATAAATAGATTGAAAAATGTCGAAAATAAAAAGAAAATTTATAACATTAATAGAAACTCGGGAAATGTGGATATCACCATAGATGAATTTCACTAGTTCGGACTTCCATTGTCTACTATATAAAATGATTTGAAATGCCTGAAACAACTAAAAAAGAAGAATTGAAAATGAATAGCTGAAAATAATAATTATATTAACCAAAATAAACCTGAAATGAAATAATAGTGAAATAAAATACAAGTGAAAATAGAACAATTGAATAAATAAAAATAAAGGAATGAAAAAAGAAAATAAAAATAAAAAGTGGAGAGATTCCAAGTCACGTTAGTTCACGACGTTTGGATTGTTAGTATCTACAATCGTCTTCGGGTGATGACTGGACTGATTCCTCCGAGAGATGACTATGTTTCGTGGGAGTTGACCGTTTGGCGGGAGTTGGCCATTTTTCGTTTGATGATGGGTTTCCATATGTTGCGTATTTCTACGCTGGCTTGGCTGAATACGTTGTTGGACAACACGTATGCGGCTTTCTTGAATTTTCTCCTAAACCAATAATCCTTTCTGTGCAAGATCTCAGCTTGGGACCACTCGATGTTGTGTTGATGGGTCCAAACATGGTCTGCTATTCCTGATTTGATTCCTGATAGATGTTTTTTTCAGATAGACAAAATCGGAAGGAAAGATAACTTTCAGATTTGTATTTATTGAAATACGTCTGAATGGTTCTAGTCAAAAATCATCCTGTGAACAAGGAAACAAACTTCCAAAGAAAGGAGAAAATTAAGAGTATTAATGTAAACTGTGTGTACTCTCTGTTTTATAGTTTCCAGTAAGGGACGTCAATATTTCTTTCTCAAAAATCAACTCTGTTTTTAATCGCCTTCTCAGATCGTTTTGTGTTTCAGCCTATCAGGACGCCGATGATTGCCGGTGGGTTGTTTGTCATCAACAAAGCCTACTTTGATAAATTGGGCAAGTATGACATGAAAATGGATGTATGGGGCGGCGAGAACCTGGAAATCTCGTTTAGGGTGTGGCAGTGTGGAGGTAGTTTGGAGATCATACCGTGTAGTAGGGTGAGTATTCAATTTGTTCACTTGACAATAATGAACACTCTAGTCGATTAAATCCAGAAACGGGTCGGAAGTAACAGCTTTGCTGTGGAGACCATATTTGGTGTGCGGCTTTGCGATTGAAATTAATTGTGTTGAAAAGTTGATGAAATATACAGTTATTGCAGTTCAGAGTGGATAATCGTACCGTATGGCCTAACAGGAAAATAATTTTTCACAAAAATACAAAAACATATCACCAAGTTTTTTTTGTAAGGTGTCAAGGTTTAGACCAAAAATGTATGATTTTTATATCCCTGACGTAGACAATGAGTTTCCAAAAGTTCTTTCATGACTCACTAAAACTTATGTACTGATTACGACTGGCAAATAGGAAACATTTTCATTTTCGGAAAAGTGACTTCTGTATTCCAAGGTGATAAATCGCTATATGGCTTTTATATCAAAAAGAGATCATTTATTTTGACATCTCTCTCATCATCTTTCAGTGTTGCTGGACTGGTTTTTGAAACGCGCATCGAGATACAGAATTTTTGTTCTGGAAACTTATTTTCAAATCAGGTGAACTCTCACATTGAGATTATAATCGGATGTCTCTCTCTGATTTATTAGTAAAACCGAAAGATATATTTGATTTTCCTCTCGATGTGGGAGTTCACCTGATTTAAAAATAAGGCCTCTGGTATAGGAAAAGTTTTTACAATAAAGTCTCATTTGGTCCTATTCTCAATTTGAAAAAATTGAGGGTTGAATGCCCTCCTTTGACAGTTGAAAATTTTGCGATGGTTTTTGGTTCAAAACTTGACGTGTTTTTGAATTAAAAAAAAAATTTCAAAAGCCAATATTTACTTTCATACTCATCTTCATACCGTTTTATTCTTCATTTTCGCTTTGCAAACATTATATTTATACAATTTTTCCGACTTCGAATTATAATTTGTATATCAAAGGAAGCAATTATAGCAGAACATAAGAACCCTAAGCATTATTTTCTGCCATTTTGATGGTAAAGTTTAGTGATGGTGGTAAATAATTATTTGTGCTGTTCATAGGTAGGACATGTGTTCAGAAAGAGGCACCCTTACACTTTCCCCGGTGGAAGTGGGAATGTTTTCGCCAGAAACACCAGAAGGGCTGCTGAAGTTTGGATGGACGAATACAAGAATTATTATTACGCTTCTGTGCCGCTAGCCAAAAACGTAGCATTTGGAGAGTGAGTAATAACAATAGTCATCAACCTATATTGCATTTATTGTTTTTTCATCATATGAGATTCAAAATTCTACCGAATACAACAACCATTCATATATTTGTTCTCTAGGTACATAACATAGAAACGTTTATTCCATCCTGACATTTTTTTTGGTTAATCTAGACTAATAATTTTTCAAAGACACTATGGTACACTATAATCTTTATGTGTTTATCTTATCGTGTTTATTCTTTTGCTAAACTTCACAAACCATATCTATTCCTCCATTTCCTACGTTCTCAATATGCCATATTAAAACTGTTGTGATTTCCCTCTTTTCACAAGCTATATGAGGTCTTTCCTAAGAAGAATCACACCATACGATTAACCCTGTACGATTTCAATAGGAATTTCTGTATTCTGCTCACTAATTATGCAATTATTATATCCTTCAGATATTAACAAACGGTTTTTCCTTAGCCTTGCCATTCAAATAATCAGGTTGGTTCTGCCTACAAAATCAATAACACCACTCTAATTGGGTTTCTGGTACAAGTTCACTTTGGAGTACTGTATGTGTCTTCAAAAATGCTTTCTATACTAACTATCCATTCGAGTTGTACCTTCTTACTCTACACCATTTTTCTTGTTTTGGAGCATTTTATTTTTTGTCTATAATGTTTGGGAGTCATTCATTTGATCCACCTTATTATTACCTACTATTTGAGAGGCTGCCAAACCTCCTAATAGTTGTGTCTCGATTTTTAGTGACTTGATTTGACTTGACTCTTTTTCATGTGTGGTTTCGAGTAATTCTTGTTATTCCCTATGTGAATTCAGGTTGGATATTCTGTATATGAACTCGTTTTGTTGCTTGTGAAATTACTCTTTCATCTCAGTTTGTTTACAATCTAAACTTCTAATCGCTTTGCAGTTTTTTTGATTGTTGTCCAAGCTTGCCTGGAGATTCTTGGATAAGTAAGGTTTTAGTTTTCTGTCAAGTGTTGATATCTGTGCTTACTCAAATAGAATACAAATGTGTGTTTCGTATTTGTGGTTGTCAAGCAGTGTACTTGTAAACGAATTTTTATTTCTTCTTTATTTGTTTTAAAGTTTGCTTACCGATCTATCATTTTAGTCTGCTGCAATAAATAATAAAATGAAGTATTCAATTTTCAGAGGAGCTGACGTAGCGAAAATGGATTACTTTGAAAATGTTCGTTTTCCACTTCATCCAATATATACCTATTTTTCATTCCTTCACTTCAGGAGTTCTCCAAAACCAAATAATTCTTCGGAGGGAACATTGACTCTCCACAAAGAATACCTTTTTCCTCCTTTTAGTTATTTCCTTTCTTCCATGTTCACTGCTATATACTTTCTCGATCTTCAATTTTGGTGAAAATATTCATAAAATAGATTTCTGTGCATTGCAGTATAAGTGAACGCTTAGAGCTGAAAAAGAACCTCCAGTGCAAACCCTTCAAGTGGTACCTTCAAAACGTCTACCCGGAGTTGACTGTACCCCACACCACAACTTCCAATGTAGGGGAGCTGCGACAAGGGATGTTCTGCTTGGATACAATGGGCCATCTGCTAGACGGCATAGTGGCATTGTATCAATGTCACCATACCGGAGGTAATCAGGAATGGGGATTCACCAGCACTGGCTTGATAAGGCATCATGATCTTTGTTTGACGCTAGTTAACTTCTACAAAGGTAAGTAGATATGTGAGGATATATGGATGGAATACTTGGTCAAAGCAATCTGTTTTTTCCCTAACCATCCAATGTTAACTCAAGCAAACGTCAGTTAACTTGAGCTTATTTATAATTTCTGCAATCTACAGATAGAAGTGGAATGAATGGTAAAGAAAAATTAAGGCAGAGTGGTAGAAGGGTTGACTGTTTCAATATTCCATTTTTGAATATTTATTTTCTTTTATGTATGTATCTCTTCCCGATACAATCTTCAGACTTATTTTGAAATGTTTGTCTCTCAAAATTACCCCATATATTAAATATAATTCCAATTTTTATCTAACATGGAATACCTTATCAAGATTATAAACATAATACATGATATTCTATTTCAACATATATCATCAATTTGAAAAAACAAAAATTCAATAGTAGTAGTGAATTCAATCTTTCATAATTCAAAGTCACTGATTTGGAAGTGAATTTTCAATTATTTCCAGAAAAGCAGTGCTTTACTGATTTTAAAGAAATCAATCTTTTTTTATCAACCTGATATTCATAAATATTATGAACAGGATAGCCCCATTATAGTTCCTTGGAGTACATCCACAGCTGTCCACAAGACATCTGCCTACCTAAATGTTCTATTTTGTTGAATATTTGGTGAAGTATTTACTGTAACCTTCGAGTAAACATTTTTTAATTTCATATTATTATTGTTCTCATGTAGTACAATGTGAAATGAGTGTCAGAAATTTTCCGCAAGTCTGACGTGTTGAAAAAATGTTTTTTCTAAGTCTGAGTCGACATTGTTTATAAAAACAACTAAAACTGAACGGAAAATTACTGAAAATATTTAATGTAAAAATTTTCAAAACATCTTTCTCTACAAAAGACTTAAGGAGAATATCACTAAGAGAAACAAGCAAAATAAATGACTAGTTTAGCAAATCAATATGAAATTAGAGAAAGTTTACACATAATTCAATTTAGCTTGAAAAATCAAGTGCTGTTTATAAATGGAGTTGTAAAATGAATTGGAAAACATCAAAATGCGGGTTATATATCCTTAATATCGAGTTGAAATGTTAAAAGAAGAAGATATGTATTTCTCTGGTATTTTTTGTTCTAGTGTCTATTGTATTACTTTACCTATATCTGTAAGTGAATTCTTGATAAGACTAATTAATTTGATTATATCAATCATAACTGCAGTTATTATCATTATGAGTTCTGTATTAATGACAAAATTTCCTTCTATAACAGGTTCTCAGGTTGTTATGAGGATATGCGACGGGTCAGAAAATCAAAGATGGCATCTGATCGAACCAGGTGGTCTATTACGTCATTCCAAGTATCCCCTATGTTTGGATTCGAGGCACACCGAAGTCAGAGGCATCACAGCTGAACGGTGTAATAGTAGTTTGGATTCTCAAAGATGGCAGCTTAGCAGTAGTAAATCTCAATCGCTTTAAATTCGTGACTCGTCTAGAATATACAAGGTTGTTCAGTGAGATCCACTGCGATTTGCTCAGTTCGATGCGTTTTTCAGCGTTGATAATCGCTTTATGAGAAAAGAGAGAGAAACGAAAATACTTTTCACAAATGTTTTGAAAAAACAAAAGAGTCCACCTCTCAGATTTTCTACACTGTAGCATCTGGCATATGTGCTGTGAAGATAACTAGATTACTTTGTCATGTTGTCTTTGATAATAAATACCGCAGTTGTAGACGAAACATCATGCATGAAAACCTCAGGCCACAGCCAACAAATCCGAAAAATAGTTTTGACACCGCTTTGTTATAATTTTGAAATATAGTAATACTAAGACAAACTGAAGGGAAAACATTTTTGGAGTTCATATGTCGTACACATAAGTAATTGATTTATCTCTCTTTTATGACTGAAAAAATATCTGTTGGTGCTCTGCATATTTCCTTGTTAGTATTTTTATATACATCATAGCATAGTCCCAAAGATAGTTATTTGGTGAAGATCTGTCGTAGTGAATATAGAAGATGTATTCGGTTGTTTTTGAAGTTTTGTCAAATTTAACGTCATGTGATTCTGTAGCTCCATATCTTAATGAATATTCATTCTACTGTGTCGTTTATACTGACCGATAGATAATTTTGTACTCTATGCAATGATGTTGTTCATTTTTTACCGAATTTAAATTTTTTTGCATCTTTTTAGCTTCTAACTATATGACGTCGTTGAACGATTTCCGGACAATTTTTCTCTACGAATTAAAATTAAACCAAAGCGCTGCCGAAACAGCCCGGAAAATTAACCAGGCATTTGGCAATAATAGTGTTAATGAACATAACGAAAAAATGGTCTAGACATGTAGAGCTATCTGGCCCCGTTATTGCATTTATATATGAAATGTACCCAAAGTATTCTGAGTTGCTTTTATATTCTTCACTATGATCAATTTTTGTTAATAAATTGATGTTCAAATCACCTGTTATTATAATCGCCGTTATTGATATTTTCTGCAACCGGGCCTAACCATCACAGTAGAGTCCTTTGGTGAGGAAATCGAAGAAATGTACTGAAAAATGCGTCAGCAGCAGCCGGCGCTGGTACCAGATGTCGCATTCTGCTCCACGACAACACCCGTCCACACGTTTTGAAAATCGCCTAAGGAAAATTAAACGAATTGAGCGTAAAAGTTTTGTCTCACCCACCATGCTACCAAAACCTTTCGCCAGCCGACTAGTAGCCTTTCAAGCACCTCGATAAGTTTCTCACCAGTAGAAACTTCGCCAATTAGGACCAGGTAAAAACGGTCTTCGTCGACTTTATCGAACTTCGCTGACGGACTTGTTTTGCATTGATAAAAGTTCACTGATTCAAATGATGTTTATTTCAACTGAATTGTATAATTACAATTATTCACTGACGTATTACAGTTTTAAGTAGACTCATAAAAACTGACAAAACTTTTGAAACAACATAAGAGAAATAATAATCACTGAAATATTTTTTTAACTGTCTTCTACCTCACTAGTGTGGAAGACAATTTCTAGAATTTGATAGTGAGGCTATACAATTAAAAAGAGTAGAAGAATATTTATAGAATGCGTTCAGGATAAGGGGGCTAGCAAAGTTATTTCAAAAACCTTATAGAGATACAAAGTCAATTAAATTGGGAAAGAGTTGCTCATTTCAGAGCTTATTCGAATGATCTTGTGAGATTTACTAATTTTACAGTTATTCATCAATGAAGTTGTTGCCATGAAGGCTAACTTATACTGAATTTTTTTCTTCTTCATACAAAAATCACTATTGATGATGATTTCTCAGAGACGAAACGTCGGATACCATTTTGTTCAGTTCTGAAAGTGGCAATGAGAAACTAGTTTTTTTTTTCAGTATCTGAGAATTTTGGTTCTTTTCGAATACCTCCTGACTAATCAGAATTTCCTACATTTCAAAACGTCATATAAATAAGTCTGAACTACTAAACTTTTCCTGATTCAACCGACTTTGTAACTTTCATGGTTTCCAATTTTTGCAACTGTTGACAAGAATATTTTCATCTCTTTCTCTTCGGAAAAACCTGTTCAATACTGAGCAAATCAATAATCAAAACTCTACTGAAGATTTTTTCGAATTACGTATAGAATTATTAAAAGACAACTTCTAATGTAATACTTGACATTGTGGATCTCATGTTTTGAAGTTATATCTTTACAATATACAGGTTTTTAATTTGAAATTGTGAGATTGTTTGTCTATGATACATTTTTTGGTAACTCGACTGGTGCTAAAAATTTAATTTGGAGCTTTGGTAGGTGTAAAATAAAATACTTTCAACAACTCATTCTGGGGTGAATCGTTGACTTAGTAAATATTAAACTTGAACGAAATTTAAAGAATCACCTCCGCTATGTTGCAAAAGCATTATCAACAGTTGAAGTTTGACCTGAAGAAAGTGTCAAAGAAAAATCCTCTCCAATCGATAATAGAATAACCGAGTGATGGTTAACAAGACTAATATCAAAATTGTGTGCAGAGAATAGTCTGCATCTCAAAAAAAGTTTGTATTATGTTGTATATATGATTGTTGAGTGTGAAAAATTTTGATTTATTGATTTGTTATTGCTCCGAAAGGAGCATAGAAAAACTAGAAGTAACAGTATTTTTTGTAAATTTTTATAAAATTGTTTCAATACGATAATCCTGCAACTTGATTTAGTTTTAAGAAATGATCTGATTCAGCGTACGTCTCAAAAATATGTATATTTTTATCCAGCGTCGACTGAACAATTTTTTTTGTACATAATTTGAATCTCAATATGTTTTAAGAGCAGTGATCAGGATATTTGGAAAAATGCTGTATTTCCGAGTTGGAAAAACTATTTCAACAGCAAATGTGGAAATCTTTAAGAAAACGCCATCTATGGGATCGCCAGAAAACTTAATTCTCGAATATCAAAGATCAACAAGGATTTTAGGATTGAGTTCTCTGGCATTATTGAGTTAGGAGGACTTCCATTGGTCTCAGTTAAATAATTTCTTCATTTACGTAACAGGCTATAAGAAACCAAAAATTGGAATCCATCCCTACCCACAAAAAAGTTGCAAGGTCTCAATACCCTGTAGATCATTAACTTTGCCTCTCATCTGATATCTATCTGCTAATTTGATCACTGACTGTAAAATGTCCTTGAGACCACCGAATTCCACAGTGGTTTGATCAATACCAATATAGTCTGGAAACCATGACAATAAAACAGATCAATTTCTCTCTGATTAAATTTCAAATTAGAAGATGTCAAAACCGACAACCATCAAAGATGCCATCAAAAAGTGGGAAGACAAGCATCCTAATGAATCGATCAGCGAAGCACTAGAAGTGGGTTTTCAATTCCAATGGCCTCCTATTGAAAAAATGGACAATTCTCTATCTGCCCTGACAAAATGCAGGAAATTGAGTCTATCCACGAATATGATCGAGAAAATAGCAGGGATTAGTGGAATGAAGAATTTGAAGATTCTTTCCCTAGGGAGGAACTACATCAAATCTTTTTCAGGATTGGAAGGCGTTGCAGACACTCTGGAAGAGTTGTGGATATCTTATAATCTCATTGAGAAAGTTAAAGGAGTTGCAGTTCTCAAAAAGCTCAAAGTGTTGTATATCGGAAATAACATGATCAAAGACTGGGGTGAGTTGGGTTTCGAAACTGTGAGTTGTCTTCAAAGTTGCTCTATCGATATTTTTGTGTTTTTATTAGGAGAGTTTGTGAAATTACAAGAACTTCCTGCACTGGAAGATCTTCTGTTTGTTGGCAATCCTCTGTATGATAGCATGGAGGAATCTGCCTGGAGAGTAGATGCTTTGAAACGGTTGCCGAATTTGAAAAAATTAGATGGAGAACCCGTTGTCAGAGATGATGCGGAATAGATTTTTGTTTAAAGCAAGAATTCTGTTCAATATGTTTCTGCTTTAAAACTACTTATATTTTTTTAGGTACACATAATTATTTGAATTACATTTTGCATTTACTATTCAATTTTGAAGAAAGTTGGTCATATCTTTTTTTGTGACTTTGGTAATAAAGGAAACGAGATAATTGCAATAATTATACAGTATATTCAATGTAAAAAAAAAGTTTTCCTTTTTTTACTGAAAGATATCACCTTGAAGTGAATTTGAACAAAAAGGTGTCCTGGCGATTTAAATTAATAAGCAGGTGCAGTTGACCAGAGGATATAATTTTAACCTTTTCCCTCATAAACTGTGTTTTATATGACATTAACAACAATATCATTAATTGATATCATAGTAAAATTCGTCTATACTCACCATTCATCTCACCTATTGCTATTGTAATAAAAATTCTTTCCACATTATGAAAAAAACATAATTCTCAGTGATGAAATGCATGCATTTTCCCAACTCTCCTGAATTTTTAATATTTTAATGAATTACATTCTAATTATGATACGTATATACCCATACATCAGATGATTTTCAGTATAAAGTGGAAAAATGTATTTTTTGATTACTTTGATAAATTAAAAAAATTAATCAACAGAATTGTCATTTGTACAGTTTATATATTCCATAGTAGCCCTGATGTGATTATGTGAACCCATTATAGACAATAAGGTAGACACAAAAACATTACGCAAAGTATATATCCCCTAAAAGACAGGTAATCATGTATTATTGTTTGTACATGAAATTGGTACTTACATCATTTGTATTTTGAATTTTATTTATACCTAGTCATAAATTGTAAATAAGCAAGATGTGTAGAAATTTTGTATAATGTATAAAAAATAAAAGACAAGACATTACTGAGGGTGTTTTTATTTCTGAATTGAAAATATTAACGATTTAATAGTAACTTTACCCATATAAAACTGTGAAAGTCTATGGAAAACAATTTTACCACATCAGAACAAAAATACTGTGTCCCGATGCGCATTTTGCTAACCAAGTTAGCATCAGCAGGAGATGAGTAATCCTAAAAATGAGATCTGCGAAACACGGGTCGAGCGAAGAGTATTTTTGTTGTGAGAAAAGTGTTATCAGTAAATTCATTTTTCAGCAGAAAGTCTTCTGTAAGTCCTTATTTGATGTATTTATTAATTCATTTCATGGGATTATTTCTTTACAAAAATAAGAATTCAATATACAAAGCAACAGAACATACATTAACTCAATATTACAATAAAATACATATGGTAATAATAATACTTTACCATGCAGTTGAGATTAAGACGTCAATAAACTTTTGATGCATACTCACTTGCAAGTATATTTGAATTTGCTGGTACTCCAGTTATATCTCATTTTTTTCATTTGAGTCAAAGTGTCCGATCAATAGAATTACGTGAACCATAATTTGTAGTATAGACCTCATATGAAACAATGTTGGTGTAATTATTGTGAATGAAAGGTATATTCATTTTATGAGCAGAAAATCTTAACAATTTGTTTTGTATTCTTTCAACAGCAACACTGTAATTTTGATAAATGGGGACGATATTATTAAGCCATAATCCAATATTGAGACTACCAGAGTCACGTAAACTATCCATAAGAATTGAAGAGATAGATGTTTGTCATGTCGATCCAAGGCATTTTTCTGCCCTTATCACAATATAGTTCACGTGATCTAAAACACTGTATATTTGCTTCAAGTCGAAGTTTTGAAAATTGACTGTCTAGGAATTTTTGTCAACATTTGAAGACTGCAAACTTTCAAACAACAGAAGTACTTGGGCATTGCCCCCATAATTTAGATACTGTCCTGTATGCGCTGGTCTTTGGTATCCTATTTTTCAGTATTCATAATCATTACATCTGAAAACAGCAATTCATTGTAGATTTCCTTGTTCGTTGTGAATGTTGTGGAAGGTTTCACGCTGTTGAGGTACTGCAAAAAGCTGCCAATTTCCATGTCTCCATAGTTCCTTACTATGAAGGTGTCATCAATATATTTCAAACAGACTCAGGACTTCTTATGGGCGTCTTCAATAGTCAGCAAAAATGGTTGATTGATTTCTTTCTGTGACTGTGATGGTCTCAACAAAATACCTTGTATCCTTCACCTAAAATTACTTTTCCTTGTAGAAGTTGCATGGTTAGATGTTTGAAACTGGACAGGTAGTAGGTAGCAGTCTCTGGATATTGGTCTGAGTAGAATAACTTTCTTGTAAACCTAGGTAGTACATGAAGGTATGGATTTTACTGTGATGCTGTTGAAGTGTTAACCTCTCCTTTTTTCAAAAAGAAGAGTAACGTTTTCTTCAAAATCTGGCACAGCTTGCTTTTCATCAATGCAGTGAGATCTTGTTCATTCTGTGTGTATTGCTCCTTCTGAAGAGCGTCTTCGATCTTCTGCTCATAGAGATCGGTATCCATTACTACAGTAGCATTACCCTTGTCTGCAGGTAGATCTTGATCTTCCAGATATTTCAAATCCGTTAACACTTTTTGTAAACAATGGAAGTATGAACCTGTAACTTTCCTGTAAGGACACTGTGCAAAAAATATTTTTGCGGCAAGCAGATAGCTCTCTTGTTTTCTTACATAGTACTTTTTCACTGGTACTGTCTTGAAAAAAAAAGTGAAATGCTAGAAATAAAAAATATATACATTTACCTCTCTTCCAAATAAGAATACATGAAAATACCTTTTCTGCTGAAGATATTCAAGCGAATTTCAAAGAACATTGAGCCTTTAATTTACAAAGTATTCTTAACTTGGGTAAATAGTTCAAGTCTAAACTATCTATAGCTTAGATAAATACAAACATTGTTGATAAGTTTTATAATTTTATGAGGGTGCAAAAATTTCAAACGATTTCGTGAATAAACACATTAACAATCTAGGAGATAAGCATCGAAGTGATAAATGTTGATAGTATTATTGTGAAATTCAATCCTGCATTATAGGATAAGGTACATGATTTTTCTAAGGATTACCCTTATGTATCAGTCTAGTGAAAAACTAGAGCTATTAGTGAGAATTTTTTATTTTTATTTACTTATAACTGATTCAAGTAGGCAAACAAAATACTATTCTAATAGGATTTTCAATTTGGTAACAAATTTGCTAAATGGCATTGCCTGCACAGGATTTGATGAATATTTGAAGAATAAACTTTTTTATTATGACAATTCTTGGTACTGAACTGTTTTATAAATCAATACCAATTCAAGTCTTCTTTTTCTGCATATCCTCCAACCGCTTATAAAGCTGTTGTTTCCAACCCTCCTCTGGAATACTAGTAGCCCACTCTGGAATAGCTCCGGGTGGCAAAGTGATATTCACCATTGCTTGCTTAACTTCATCAATTCGACTGCTATCCATTTCGATACTGCTACTCTCAGGGGGAGGGCCTGACCACACCTCTTTCACTAAAATTTCTTCGATAGGGGTTATGGGAGGCAATGTCGAAGTTTGAGCAGAGTCCGAAGGGAGGTTAATATTTTCTTGACCTGAAAATGTTGAGTGTGAAAAATTATTGCTGACATACTTGCGAAAGAAGAACCTTCATCAGATATGTCTTCAGATTCTTCTAATGGTGCGCTGGGCAAAAGTTGATATTGATCATACTCATTTAACAAATCTTCAGGGTCTGAATCATTATCAGATACCAGAATTACTCCGTCATTGGAAACCCTCAAATCTTCATTGGGATCATCTGGTTCTGGTAATCCATAGTCTGAACAAACCATTTAATTTGGGTAAAAGTTGCGTAAACAAACAAATGACCAAAAAATATATTTTTGTTTAGTTTGACTTTTAAGTGTTAGAATGTTACTAGTTGCCGAACACGGGATGTTAGCCACTTGTTTTTGTAAGACATCTAGTTATACGAACTCTGGGCCTAGGCCAGGGATCTATCTTTTGATTTTTATGGAGGTGCGACCTCTACATATTGAATGATGAAATCAGTAAATATATAATAATGGTACAATCATAGAAATATGATACATAAATCTATTTCTGTGCTATGGTCTACTGTGCCAAGGGAAGCAAAGACAATAAAAAAGAGAAGAAGAGAGAGAAGATTTCTGTGCTAAATATGAATGATATAAAGTCACAGAACTACTCAAGAAATATCGATTTAACCTATCGAATAAATGATTTTCAGGTTTCAGTGCTGTGATGCAAGGTAGCACTGGAAACTCTGGCGAAGTATTATTACTACGAAGCAGGCACTATTCCTATGTGCTACAACACTCCTCTCGACGCTCGTTTCATCAAACATGTTGGTATTTTCAAGGTAAACAGTCTACTATACGTCCTGAAGACCCCAACTTGCTTGTGGTGAAATGCGTGTTAGGGAACAGAGCTTGTTTTGGACATAGTTCTGTGGCTTACCTCAACTATTTTCATTCGTTTGGGGCAAACTACGGTAGAGTGACATCTAGCTTTCATACTGCGAACTTCAAACTCAGGGAAAAAGTGATTCTTGCTTTCAATATAATGCAGGTCATTTCTCCAATAACTTAGACTCAAAGAAGATGACCTAAGTTTTCTGAATGCGTATCTATTTCAGCAACTCTAATAAATGCCATGTTTGAAGGAGCAACCATATATGAGAAACACTTGACCTGACTTACCATCTGGCTTAGTTTCGATTTGGTGTACTCTTTGGTTTCAATACGTCCGGTAGATATTGAATCTGGAAGATGAACTCCATAGTAGCAGTGATCTGGCGTTGGAATGTTGAATAGATTTCTGATATCTGTAACAATACCTTGGACTAAATATAGCAAGAATGCTCACAATGTTATCAATATAAATTATTTCATTTAATAGCATTAAATTCTCTCTCTTCTCTAAGCACATTATGTTGTGCTATTCGCATTCCGATCTCAACTGGAGAAAACGTGTTTGAGATTCTTCTGATATGTACTTCTTCAATAAAAAATATTAACTAAAGAAGACATATTTAGAGTGAATCATTCCATTCCACTGTTAAGTTGGGTTTTCGTCAACTAGATGTCAGGACGTGTCACTTTTTCTTGAGTATTTTCTTGAATATTCATATGGAAGTTTAATTTTGTATGAGGTTTAAATTTAAAATCGCTATTGCTCTTCCAAAAAGTCATTTATGTAGTTTAAATATTCTGAAATGATAAGATTTTTATATTCTGAAATTGAATTATATATTCATCATATATGTTCCATTGTTTGCACAGATGATTGAGTATTGAGTAGGTAAGCGTAGATTAGATTCTCAAATTGAACACAAACTATATATTTTTTTATTAAAACCCTAAAATTTCCACTACATACCTATTGCATTCGGAGTGAACCATGTGATTCAATTCAGTGTTCATTTAAATTGTGCAATAGAATGTTATTGGCCTAGATCAAAATGACAAGTTCATGAACATAGAAAACACATACTGATGAGATAGCTATGTTTATGTCGAAATTTCGACTTTCTGGACTTCTCTGATTTTACGATATTTGGTATTCAGATATTCCAATATGTGAAACATTCGACAAAACCAATCATAATTTCAGCTTGATATTTGTAATTACGATATGGAATGTAATTATTATCAGATGTGAAATACCCCCAATTTATTAGATGTGAAAACAATTATTTGTATATAGTACAATTCCATAATAGTAGGCACTGAATTCTTAGAAATACGAATATTATTGCATTGAAAAGAAAACATTGCTCTTAATGTTGTGATTTTATATATTTTATCATTTTTTCTCATCTGTTTAGTACAATTTCCGTACGCCACTGCAAGATCCATATTAAGGCAGAAATGTCATTAATTTCTGGGAATGCCTACTATTTTGAAATTGTAGTAAAGTATACATAAGTTGAAACCATAGAAACTTTTCAATGAACAGTTTCTACAGAATGTAAATTGTTAACTCAAAATCTACAAAGTTGCCAACGATTCCCATTTACATAGCTCAAAGAGATCCAAATAAATGCTGACGCATGGGCCAATGTGCCAATTCAATGGGCCAATTCAATTTCGAAATGACGTTTTACGACGGTGTGTGATTCCCAGGATGGATTCGGATCTTAATTTCAGGAGAAGGAGGTAATTTCAGATTTTCGGGAATGGGTACTATTAGGGGAGGATTTTTAAATGGAAGTTTTTGTTTGTATATTTTAGAAGACTAATTTGAAATGTATTAAATATCGATGTCGAGGGAAGTGGGTTAATTGAAAAGTTTTATTATTTCAAAGATGTGAAAACTCATAAATGGCGGAAATAACATTATGACAATATTTAAATATGGAAGTTGCCGAACTAAGTCTGGCCAAGTACTGTTGTAAGTTATATTAATCTTTATCAAATATCAGGAACTTCAAAACACAAACTGTCTTTAAACCCTCTACTTTTCGAAAAAAACAGCTCAAATCCAGCGCAGTGCAGGTTATGAACAAGAGCACGACACATCATATAGAATTTTAATAATGTGTGATGCATATATCCAGCTCAATCTCAATTTCGGCTTAAAACATGACGAAAATATGCAAACATTTTGTCGGTCAAAATTAAAACTACATAATTTAACACGTATGAAAAAGTTGCAGAGTAGTTATTTCGCTGGATATGTGTCAGATGACGAACAATGCGAATGCGGTATTTTCACTAACAGGATAGAATGCACCTTTAGAGAAAAACAATAAGTTTATGTTGAGTGAGCGAGTTTGTTCGTTAGTTCTCCGAAGGGAAGTATATGAATGTATAAACGTTGAAAGGTGTTTATTTCCCGTTTGTTAATAATGCGATGTCTGTTCAAAAAATATGGTGAATTTAAATTTTCTCAAAAAATATTAATTTATTCATCAATTTCTATTTTGTTCCCTCCAAAGTAGTTCCCCTTAGATATAATACGTTTGTGCAAGCGTTTTTTACAATCCTCTTAGCGGTTCTGATATGCACTTTTTGGTATGTCCTTGAGCTCTCCCCTCAATCGTCGCAAAACACCGTCCTCTCATGAGTATCTTCAATCTTGGGAACAGAAAAGAGTCACATAGGGCCAAATCTGGTAAATACGGTGGCTGCTCCTCATAAGTAGCGCATAACTTCAAGATAATACTTCTAAATGACCGTTCGACCATGTGGTGAGAACTCCAGATGTACTACGCTACGGTAATTGAAGAAAATAGTGAGCATAATTGTCATTTGATCGTACTTGGTGTGCTTCTTTTAGTCTTGGCTCTCCTGGGCTCTTCCATTGAGACGATTGCACTTTGGTTTTGAAGTCATAACCATATATCCATGATTCGTCACCAGTTGTGACTCTCTCAAGCAGATCTGAAATGCGTCATTCAAGAATTTCTTAGCAATACTCATACGATGGTTATTTTGGTCAAAATTCTGCAATATTGGAACAAACTTCGCTGCCGTACGCTTGGGCAGCACTAAATTGAAACATCGTGCATTGGTGGTGGACATAGAGGACGACGTGATCATTGGAATGGACATAATGAATTCCAGAGGGTTCGAGCTGAATTTCCAAGACGACGTCCTACGTGTCGGCGGAGAAGAGCTGGTGCTTCATTGAAGAAGCGAAGAGATGATTTGGGTTCTGTTGGCTGAAGACGTGTGCGTACCTGAAAGGGCTGAAACCATCCTGGAGGCTCGCTTGGACGGAAGTGCGAGCAGCGGCAAGGTGGTAATGTTCGAGCCCAAGATACACGATGCGAAAATTGGACGAGGAATCGCACTGGGGAAGACCCTGTTGCGTGTTGATTAAATTGTGCCGGTCAGGGTCATGAATGTCAACTACTTTCCCGTGACCTTGAAGAAAGGAACAATGCTGGGGCACTGTTCGTCCATTTCCTCTGTGATACGGAGTGTACGCAGTTCTGTTAGCCAAGCCAACAACTTGCCTAAAGAGTTGGAGAAGTTGATTGACATTTCCTCCAAGGACATACCGCCAACTCACCGATCAAAATTGAGGGAGTTACTCAAGAAGTACCAGGAAAACTTCGATGTTGGAGAAGGAAAGGGCGGCAGAATGAATGTGATTCAGCACAGAATCGACACTGGGAATGCCCGACCAATCCGGCAATCAGCTAAAAGACTCCCTCTTGCCAAGAGAGAAGAGGTAGACAAGATAGTCAGCGATATGGGAAAAGAAGGAGTCATCGAACCTTCTGACAGTCCCTGGTCTTCCCCAGTCGTATTAGTGAAGAAGAAGGACGGCTCGACAAGGTTCTGCGTGGATTATCGCCAACTAAATCACAGACAGCTACCGTCTTTCAAGAATCGATGACACCCTAGCTAGCTAGCCGCTCCACAATTTTCTCGACTTTGGATTTGAAGAGTGGATATTGGCAAGTTGAATTGGCCCCAGAAGATCGAGAAAAGACTGCTTCCACCAACTGCTCAGGATTGTGGCAGTTCACGGTTATGCCATTCGGGCTTTGTAATGCTCCAGCGACCTTCGAGAGATTGATGGAGACGGTTCTCAAGGGGCTCTCATGGAAGACGTGTCTAGTGTATCTCGACGATATATTCGTGGTCGAAAAATCGTTTGACGATCATTAAAAAAATCTGGAGGAGGTATTCATGCGTCTGAGGAGTTCTGGATTGAACCTTGGACTTGGAACTTTCTGTTCCAGAAAGAAGTCCGTTACTTCGGCCACGTTGTCTCTGGGGAAGAAGTGGCGGTAGATGAACAAAAGATCAAAGCAGTTGAGGATTGGCCCATTCCAAAAGACATACATCAGCTTCGGAGCTTCCTTGGTTTATGCACCTACTACCGCAGATATGTGCTGGGGTTTGCCAACATCGCTAAACCATTGACCCGACTCACAGAAGGGCAGATCCAGTTCCAGTGGTCTGAGGAATGCCAAGACTCATTCAAGAAGGTGAAAAGAGTTTTGATCAACGCTCCTGTTTTGAGCTATCCCCTACCGGATGGAAAGTTCATTTTAGATACGGACGC